AGACGTGCGATACCCGCTTCCCGGTGCAGGGTGACGGACGAAGCTCCCAAGGGACAGAGAGGGGGGAGTCCGGGCCGCGCTGTGGCCCTGTTCTCCACCCTGGCGGGGCACCGTCAGCCCGGCGCCGGGACCCGACGGGAACAAAGACTCGGGGGCCCCGCACCGGCAGAGGCGCTCCCGCCCCTGTCCCACCCCCGGCGGGGAGGCCGGCGCCGCCGCGCGCCGCCCGGCCTGGGAGCTGCGACGGAGACCCGGCCCGGCACCCGGGCGGGGTAGGCAGACCCGCGCCAAGGCCCCGCCCGGCCGCCGGCCGCAGAGGGTCGCCGGGCGCGGGAGGCCTCGGGCTGGGCCGGCCTGTCACCTTCAGGACGGCCCGCCCCCCGCGAGAGCCTCTCAGCGCCGGCCTCCGCTCTCCAGCTGGGCCTCCCCGTGTCCCCTCGGCCTCCCCGCGGCGCGCACCTCGCGCCCCGCGCTCCGGCGCCGCGCCTCCATCCGCCGTGGTCGTACCTGCTGGGAAAGCGGGAGCAGCGGGGCCGCCATTTTCCCGCGGACTCGGACTCCCAGCGCCCGGGCGGGGGCGGGTCCGCGCGTGCGCACTGCTCGCGTGGGTGGGGCGATGCGCGCGCAGCCGAGCCCGGGAGGAGGTGGGGCTGTGACAGAGCCGCGCACGCGTAGTCGAACCCGAAGGGTGGGATAGTGGGCGAGGCTGAGCGCTCCGACCCAGGCCCGGGGGAGGCGGGGCCTGGGAGGTGCGCAGGCTCCAGGGGTCCCTAGGAACTGTCTGCGGAGCTTTATAACTGCCAGGACTCCTGACCCGCAGTCTATCATCCTTCCAGGCCTTTGCCGGTACCGGGACCTCTGCTAAGGATGCCGTCCCCTCTCGGTGCGCCTGACAAACACATTATGAAGAGTCTGGCGCCCATCCCGCAGAGGGTCCGGCACCCTCGCCCTGCCCAACGAGGCACCCTGTTCCTACAGTCCCACGACGCCTGGGATTATTTCCCACCTTCCACTTTCCAGACATGTGACCTTGCTAAGCCACCTAAGTAGCCTCTCTGCGCCGCAGTCCCATCTCCTGAAAGGAGGGAATGGTAATGTGTTTCATCTCTGTGCTTAACGATGTGCCTGGCACAGAGCCGGCACTTGATGTTTACTGGAGGGGCATTTATTTGGTCCGGTTGCCTTCCACTGGCTATGGCCCCCATTCATCTGGGCTGGTTTCCACTAACAGGGTGAGGAAGGAAGGGCCTGCTGGGCAGCTAACCCCAGCAGGCACAAGGTTTCTTGAAGGAGGTCGACCTCCCTTTACCTGGTCTCCCGATATGGTGGCAGAGCGAGCCTGGCCAGGTGCCTTTTCTCAGGCAGGCAGGCCAGGTCATGTGATCTCAGGAGTGCGGCACCTGCACACGTCTCAGTTCTGGAATTTCAGGGGCTGCTGCTCAGTGTCTTCAACACCCCATACCATTGCTTTGTGATGCATTCAACAACCACTAGCCCCTCAAATGCTCATTGAGCACGCCTGGCCTCAGTACAGGTGCTTCAATGCTGGACCAGGTTGACACGCTCTACCTCCAGCCACAACCTAGAGCAGGGGTCTCACCCTGAAGCCACGTTGGACCAAGAAGGCTTGTTAAAGGTTGACAGAGTTTGATTCTGATTTACAGATCTGGGTGAGGACTGAGATTTTTGCATTTCTAACAAATCCCTGGAAGATGCTGAAGCTGCTGGTCCTGAGACCCCATTTTGAGAACCATTGATCTAGAGGAAGAAAACACACATCAAATAATTACTCAAGGAAATAGATCACTATAGATGGTGACAGGTATTATGGAGTACTCCAAAGCTGTGTCACAGCATGACACTTGAATGTTGAGTGTGCATGCGGTAACGGGGTGGGGTTGAGGATGATGAGCCATGGTAAGGCAGAACTTGGAGCTCAGAGAGCAAGACAATCTCAAGACAAGGCCAGGTCACACATGGTCTTATGGGACACCTCAGTTGGAAGATCAATGAAAAAGACCATGTGTGATCCGGCCTTAAGACTGTCTTGCCCTCTGAGCACCACGTTCTTGGTCTCTCCATGCTCCTTCACCCCTCAGCTCCCTGTGCAGAGAGAAATGGGAAGCCACCAAAAGGCTTTGGACATGATCAGATTTGTGTTTTAGAATGGTGACTCTGGATGCAGCAGACAAAGGGGGCTGAGGACAGGTGGATGGCAGCGACTGGTCCAGGTGGAGGTGCTGGGGCTTCTTGCTGCCTTGAGTGCTTAATCAGTCCACATTCGATGAAGAGAAGTCCTTCTAGGTATTTCAAATGGAGGACATTTGACACAGCAGATTGAGGACAAAAGTATGGGAAAAGCAAGCGGTTTTTAACAAGCGGAAGGTTACCTAGATTAGTAACTGCAGGAAGCTGCTAGCCCCTCTAGAGCTAAAGGGAAAAGGGAAAAAGGTGTTACCCAAAACCCACAATCAACTGGGCCCTGAGCCTGAACCCAGATGCCTTCTCTCACTGGCCACCACTATTTCTGCCATCGTTGTTAAAGTCATTGCGATTGCTGTCACCGCTGCCCAAGGAGCCAGTAGAAGCCCCCAAAAGTGGCTTGTCCTCTCTGCCTGCCTTCCGACTTCTAACAGAACATGCTGGCAGGCCAGTGGGCAAGGTTTGTTGGGGAAATGTCATATGCGGACTTCCAGCCTAGGTGTCAGGGTCTAGAGGGGCCATGGCAGTGGAGAGTCTCTTGCACCATCTTTACTGGAAACCGAAGCTTGGTGGTGTGAGCCCCACCCAGTCGGCAGCACAGCCTGAGTAGCCTGGGGTCCCTCCAAGTGCTGAGGCTGCCACACTGGGCTATGATCAACCATCCTGGGGCCTGTCTCACCAGAGTCCGGAGTCGTGCTGTCCAGGATGGCAGCCACTCACCACATGTGGCTTTATAAGTATAAATTTAATTATAGTTAAATAAAATTAAGAGTTTGTTCCTCCACAGAATGTGCACCACCAAGAGCGACCCTAACCTAAACTATGAACTCTGGGTGATAATGATGTGTCAAGGTAGGTTGATCCGTTGTGACAGATGTCCCATTAAGAGCAGGAGGCCGTCAGTGGGAGAGGTTGTATGGGTGTTGGGGCAGGGGGTATGGGAACTCTCTCTACCTTCCACTCAGTTTTACAAGCCTAAAACTGCTCTAAAAAACAGCATTTAGTAATTAAAAAATAAATTCATTCTTCAGTCCCACCAGCCACATTTCAAGGACCCACATGCAGCCAGTGGCTACTGTATTGGCTCATGCAGATTCTGGGAAACACCTCCATCTTCACAGAAAGTTCTCCAAGACAGTGCTGCTCCAGAAGGTCTGAGCCAGTCTGACCCACGTCTGTACAGTTATTCTGGCACCTTCTCTCTAGGCCTGGTGCTGCCTGTTCCCTCAGTAACCTCTCACCCCCTTCAGAGGCTAAAGAGGTAGCCGGGGTCTGAATCTCATCCCTGCATTGCAAGGGAGTGAGTGAGTTTTTAACTGCTGAGAGTGATAATCAATCCCTGATAGAGAGTCAAGTCCACATTTGAAGGTCTTCCAACTTCAGTCAAAACTAGGACAAAACTTGCTAGAACTTCCCTTCCTGAGCAGACTTTTCACACTGATCATGAACCAATATGCCATATATAACTTCCAATTTATTCGACTTATTTGTAACATCACTGTCGTGCCAATGGGCTTCAGCCCTGGGCGAGTTCACTATGGATTCGGTGTGACCAAAGAAAATGACTAAAACGTTATTGGGGTGACAGGGTTATACCCAACTTTATTCCCACGGTGGCAGGTCGATCCCTAACATCCCATTCACTCACAGCGAGTCTGCATGTAGCAAGCCGGCCTCTGCCTCTGGGCCCCTCTGCCTGCATAGCTGTCCCGCACAGCCACCCTGTGGGCCTCTGTCCTCTGCTCTCCTGCAGCCTTACAGCAGTGCCACTGTGTCACCCAGAGCACTGGGTGGAGCTCTTTATATAGAGTCAATAGCAACATATTGCCCACACATGTATAGTGAGCTAGCTGACCAGAGCCAGGTAGGAATCCTGGCCACAGGAATTTTGATTTTATCCACTATCACTTACTCCAAATTTCTGGTGTCCTAAATTTGATTATCTCCAACACAAATTTCTGTGTGAAAACAGGTCTCTTCAAAACACAAGGCGCTGTGTGTGACTTTTTTTTTAAAGCAAATTATTTGATTTAAAGGGAAAAAAATTAAACTGAGAACTGATCACTATTTTCACTTGAGAAAATGAATTTTATGCCTCCATCTTAAAGAGAACTAAAGGCCACAGAAGTAGGTCACCACGTTGGGGGGAAATCACCAGCTTTCCTATGGCATGTTAAACGTCTGTGCACAAAGCCTGGGTTCTCTGAAATAACCAGCATGCAGGCCAAGCACACAAAACCATTCCATATCAAAGATGTCATGTAGAGGTATCTGTGGATAAAATGAAAGTTCCTGTAGCCAGGATTCTCACCTGGCCCTGGTTGGCTAGCTCACTGCACACCTGTGGGCAATACGTTGCTATTGACCCTATATAAAGAGCTCGGCCCAGTGTTCTGGGCGACACGGTGGCATGGCTGCAGGAGAGCAGAGGCCCAGAGGATGGCTGTGCAGGACAGAGGGGGCCCAGAGGCAGAGACTGGCTTGCTGCATGCAGACTTGCTCTGAGTGAACAGGATTTTAGTGATTGACCTGTCACCGTGGAAATAAAGTTGGGTATAACCCTTTCACCCCAAGAATGTTCTACTGTCATTTCTTTGGTCACATTGAATCCATAGTGAACTTGCCCAGGGCCGAAACCCATTGGCAAGACAGTATCATACTGGAAAAATTTCAAGTGTTATAAGCAATTCACAACCTAAAGAAGTAAGGCATTTTTCCTTTTTCAGAATAAGCTTATCAACTTTTATTTATAAGACATTGTAGGGATTAAGAATGTCACGTTTTTGGCCAGACTCTCACTGGCCTCTGGCTTCCAGAATTTGGGTTTGTCCAGAGAAAACATCTTGGTTCACAGCAGCAGGGCTTAGGGAAAACCAGACTGACCCCACTGAGAAGCACAGGTACACTTTTTTAAAGAAAACTGGACCAATCACCACATATGTAGACTCGAGCCTTTAAATGTGCATTGAAGAGAAATCAAGTTTACCAATCATCTTTATTTGGGGGTGGTTTGGCTAAAGTTCTCCCCTCCTGTGAAATCTTCTGAAATTACTTTCAGGTCTGTCAGACTTGCCTCTCAGCAGTTCCTCGCGGGCCTTCTTGATTTCCTCCTTGGCCTGTATGGCGTGCATCTCTCTCTCTGGGCCCTGGAGAAAGAAACAAAGACCCTGATGTCTGCAGATTATGCCTCCAGAGAGCTGACGGGGTGTCCGTGTTCAGCCTGTCCCTGCCTCCTGGAAGCCTCCACACCACCTGGGGGAGCGGAAGAAGGAGTAGGAAGGCCCTAATCCCTGGAACCCGTAAATGTGGCCTTATATGGGGAAAGGGTCTTTGCAAATGTGATTTAAGTTAAGCACGTTGAGATGAGGTTATCCTGGATTGGCAGGGTGTCCTCCTAAAAGAGAAGCAGAGACTGACACACACGCAGACAGAAGAGGAGACCATGTGTAGATGGAGGCAGAGATTAGAGCCGGCCAGCCTCTGTTGCCTGAGGGTTTCAGCCCCAGGCAAGTTCACTCTTGATTCTGTGAGACTGAAAAAATGACAATGGAACATTCTTGGAGTGAAAGGGTTTATACCTGTGGGGAAGTTAGGATTCCTATGGCCAGGATCCTCCCTGAACTTAAACCACCTGATGATGTACTACACCGCCTGTTGCTAGGCTACCGCTTCCACACCTGTAGGCAATAAGCTATCATTGCACTATACAGAGAGCTCGGCCCAGGGCTCTGGGCGGAGGCAGAGACGCTAGTGCTCCACCTACCGCCGGGAGAACAAGCTGGGTAATAAACCCTTTCACCCCAAAGAACGTTTTGCTGTCAATTTCTTTTGTCACATTGAATCCATAGTGCACTTGCCCGGGCCGAAACCCATTGGCAAGACAATACCCAACTTTATTCCCACGGTGGCAGATCAAGTGCTAGAATCCCATCCACCTCAGAGCCAGTCTGCATGCAGCAAGCTGGTCTCTGCCTCTGCGCCTCTCTGCCCCGGCAGCCGTCTCAGTTTCTGTCCTCAGCGTTACCACCCCTACAACCTCTGCTCTCCTGCAGCTCTGAAGCCCAGAGCACTGGGCGGAGCTCTTTATAGGGTCAGTAATAATGCATTGCCCACACGTGTGTAGTGAGCAAGCTGACCAGGGTCAGGTGAGAATCCTGACCATAGGAACGAACTTTCATTTTCTCTACACAGCCACAAACCAAGAAATGCCAGGAACTGCTGGAAGCTGCAAGAGGCCAAGGGAGAGTGTGGGGTAAATTGAAGTTCCTATGGCCAAGATCTTCACCTGAACCTATACTTACTGATGCAGTTGGCCTACTGCTAGGCTACTGCTTCCACATCCATAGGCAAAAAGCTGTTATTGACTGAGTCACTATATAAAGAGCTCTGCCCAGTGCTCTGGGCGGAAGCAGAGACAAGGAGGATTATAGACCTGAAGAACGTTGGGTGCAGATGTGATTCTAGTGCTCGACCTACGGCCCAAGGAACAAGCCGGGTAATAAACCCTTTTACCCCAAGAACGTTCCATTGTCATTCCTCGGTCTCACTGAATCCACAGTGAACTTTCCCAGGGCTGAAACCCGTTGGCAAGACAGAGGGATCCTCCCCTAGAACTTCTGTAGGGAGTATAGCCCTACTGGGGCCTGATTTCAACCCACTGATGCTGATTTTGGAATTCTGGCTTCCAGAAGTTGTGAGAGGATAGATAAATTTGTGTTTGTGGTAAGTCAGCTGGTTTGTGGCCATTTGTTATAGCATTTCTGGGAAATGAATACTGCCCTTTCTTTCTCTTCCCAGAGCCTCTGGGCCCCTGTGCTTCTCCAGCTGCCCAGTTAATGGCAGTGCAAGGAGGCCTCGGAGCCTGAGTGAAAAAATCCAGTTGCGTGTGATTCACAGGAGGGTCAGGAGTACAGACACATCTGAACGGTTCCCATAGTCATGACTGAAGCATTTTTAGTAAGGCTTTATGGCAGAAATTAGGTTCAAGAAGAAATGGCTCATGAGAAAACGGCTTTATGATAAGCACCTTTAAACAATGGGGTGGGGAGTTTTCCATCTGAAATGCCTTAAGATACTTAAGTTTGAGCCACCAGTTTTGCAGCTAGTTCCAGTGTGATGTACATGACATGGAAAACACTGGAAAAAGGGAATGAGAGAATTCCAATTAACATCAGGAAGGTGTTTGTGTATCCCCCTTGACTACTAGCATGCAATTTACCAACCCAGAGTTTCTGGCTACAGCAGAGTTGGGGGGGGAGCAGTCTTCCAAGAACTTTCTAAGTATGACACGCTAAGGGGACACCTGCTGCTCACTTGATTCACCTAAGGTGGCCACTGTTTAGTTACTGACACTGAATGGCATGAGAAACAAAATGTTCATGCCCATTAACAGTACACACCTTAGGTTTTAATACTTTGGCTCTCAAGAGTTATAAATTAATTTGTACTGATGGAAAATATTTTATCTTTTTTGATTTGAAGTCAGAGCTAAATTTTTACACTGGTTTCTCAGTATTGGGGTCTCAAAATGCACATTAAAAAAATATAGGGTTGTTCCATGTTGAGGGAACGAGAAGGCAAGGCATGGAGGGGGAGAGGACATTTGCAATGCATTTACCTGACAAAGAACTTGCCATAATATATAAAGAGCACCTACAACTCAATAAGAAAAGGTCCAAAGTGGGCAAGTGACATAAACAGGCTGTATCAACCTGTTTCTGATGTTTTGACATCTGGAGCCTTGCTGATCCTGGAGGGATGGCCCCTCCCAGGGCCAGTGGATTCCTAGAGACAGTGAATGCCTGAAAGGACTCCTTTCCTGTGCAAACAAATCAATCCAGAGCACATCCCTAACCACCCCTTTATCAGGCTCTCAGAGTCAGGGCCGTTATCTCCCTGCCCTCATCACTCTAGGACCTGGTACTACAACTGAGGACAGTTCCAATGCCCCAGGGCCCATAGGAATTCTTAAAACTAGCCAGTCCTCAGCCTGTTCACCCTGCCTCCCCTGTTCTTCCCCATGGAAACCCCAGTAAAGGCTCCTTCCCACATTCTCAGCTTGGTCCCTCTGCTTCCTGACAGAGCCTGGTGCTTCCCTGCATAGTTCCCCATGGCATAGCATGACCCCTCTTCTTGGGATCTTGAAGGAGAAAAAGCTATCTTCTCAATGGTGGTTGTTTCCTGCTCTGTTGATGACCCACAGGCACATGAAAAGGTGCTCCACGTGGCTGATCCTCAGGCAGATGCAAAGCAAAACCACAATGAGATATCACTTCACACCAGTCAGAATGGCCAGTGGCAAAACAACAAGAAATAACAAGGGTCAGCGAGGATGTGGAAACAACGGAACCCTCCTACACTGTTGGTGGGATTGCAAATCAGTGCAGCCTCTGTGGAAACAGTATGGAGGTTCCTTAAAGAATGCAAAATAGAACCATCAGCAATTCCATTTCTGGGTATTTATCCAAAGAAAATGAAAACACTAGTTCTAAAAAATAAATGCACCCCCATGTTCACTGCAGCATTATTTCCATAGCCAAGACAAGGAAACAACCTGAATGTCCATCAGTGGATAAATGGATAATGAAGATGTGCTACATATATACAATGGAATATTACTCAGCCATAAAAATGAATAAAATCTTGGCATTTGCAACATCATGGATGGACTTAGAGGGCATTATGCTAAGTGAAATAAACCAGGTAGAGGAAGACAAATACCATATGATTTCACTTGTATGTGGAATCTAAAAAAAAATAATGAGCAAACAAAACAAGATAGAAACAGACTCATCAACACAGAGTCCATGCTGGTGGTTGCTGGAAGAAAGAGGATTGGATGGGGGATGGGGTTAGAGCATTAATGGGGGAAGCTATAAACTTCCAGTTATAAAATATATAAGTCACAGGGGAGGCAATATATAGCACAGAAAACAGAGTCAACTGCTTTGTATGGTGACAGATGGTAGCGAGATTTATCATGGGGATCATAATATTGTATATGGACTATACTTCAATAAAAACAAAGAAAATAGGCATTTCAGAAAAGGATGTCTAAATGGCTACAAAAATCCACACAACAGTGCCCGCCCTCAGCTGTCATTGGGGAAAGCCAACTGAGACTGGAGACAGACACGATGACACACATGTATAGAAACAAACGAACCCTAGTACTGGAGAAGGCGAAAAACTGCAGGGTTGCAAAATGGTGCTGCTGCTCTGGAAACAGCCTGGTGGTTTCCTGTAGGCTTAAATAACCCGGCAACCCACCGCCGGCTATTTAGCCGAGAGATGAAAGCGCACATGCCCACTAAGGACTGTATGCAAGTATTCGTAGTGGTTTTGTTCACACTGCCAAACACTGGAAACAATGCAAATGTCCATCATCTGGTGAGGGAATAAAACTACTCAGCACAAGCAGCACACTGAGCCACACCCCAACAACACGGATGAATCTCAGACACATTATGCTTGACAGAAGCGGTCTCGAAACTACCACTCACTCTGAGTCCTGTTTATATGACATTCTGGGAAGGGCAAAACTCCAGGGGCCGATACCAGATCAGTGGTGGCCTGGAGTTGGAGAGGGGGTGGCTTTGGGTGATGACAGACATTGGCCTACATCTTGATTTTTGCTGGTGGCTTCACAGCTGTATGCATTTGTCAAAATTCACAGAACTGTATGCCCAACGAAGGGAAAATTTTACAGTATATAAATAAATCTGACTTGTCAACAGCTGACAATGACACTAAGCACAGCCAAAGATGTGGCATCGACTGAAAGTCTCATCTGCTGCGGAAGGGGATGTAAAATAGGCTGACACATTAGAAACTGGCGGTGTGGGACCTTGTAACCCAGACTGTCCCCTGCTGGGCATGTGTCCACTGCAAGCATGTGTGGGGATGATCATAAAAGCTTTATTCATGAGCCTGCAAGTTGGGAGTGACTCCAAGCTGCATCAACAGAGAATGGATGCACACCTTCTGGAATATTCGCATGAGAAAAACAAGCTAATGCTGTAGTCCATGATAGGAATGAATCTTACACCACCACGAGAATGAGGCATACTGGATGGAACCATTTATATCGATTTCAGAAGGAGGTCAAATCCATCTATGGTGACAAAAGAGTGGTCCCTTTGGGGGTAGGTGCTGGCTGGGAGAGGGTGTGAGGAGGTTCCTGGAGCTCTGATGATGTTCTGTATCTTGGTCTGGGAGGAGTATTCATTAGTAAAAGTTTGCCAAGCCCTTTCCTATAGGTTAGATGCAAGGACAGATATAAATAATGAGAGAAAAGCTGGTTGTGTGCCTCATACTTTGGTTTCGCCCCAGGTGGCCCTGCCAAAATTCTCAGCGTACTCTTCATCATCTGTGATCAGGAAGTTGTCGAAAATGGTTCCAGATCTCACCTGTGGATGACAATGAGGTCTTAATGATGTGAGAAATGTAACAACTTTTCACCAAGAAAACCATTGTCATTTGCTCAGTACGGTGATGCTTAACCCCGTTTCTAGAACATCTGTTCCCTCCAGGGCACAGGTTCTCAAACTTGGCTGCACACTAGGATCACCCCAATGACTCGGGCACTCAACAGTGTTTGCGAACCTCTGCTCAAGAACCTAACTGTGCAAAGTGTGGGCCAGGGATTGGCAGCGTCGGCTGCACCTGAGAGATTGCTGGGACTGTAGAATCTCAGGCTCCACCTGGACCAGATGTTGTCAGACTCTGCCATCCTGTCCTAAAGATGATGGGTGCCCCAGGCCAACCCCAAGCAGAGGAGTGACAAATTCCCAGGGGGAAGGGGGGCAGACAGGAAATGCCCAGAGGTCAGGAAGTTCGGACATTTTGTCTGTTGCTGTATGTCTTGGGTCTAGGTATGGTTGCTGGGCACACAGGAGGTGCTCAGTGAATGCCAGCTGTGTGAATTAAGGAGTTCAGGCTGAAGTGCAGAGCTACGAGACCAAAGCAGATTGCAAACCAAGTGACCTGCCAAAGCTCCAGTCCAATGGCACCAATGTTCTCGAATTCTGAGAGGTCATATTCTGTCAAATAGTTGGTGTTTTTCATCTTACGATGGAGCCAAATGTGTTTGTCGATGCCCTCTGGTTTCAGGCCTCCCTGGAACAACAAACTGAATGTGGTGGCCCTGAGAGACAAGGGCGAGGAGGGGCAGCCCAAGGGACAAGACCCCACATACCTGGTTTGGAGGCTTCTGCAGCATAGATGCCTGCCCCTCCCTGTCCAATTCAGTCATGTTCCAGTCGCTTGACTTGTTGGCACTGGCATCCAGAAAATGCTTCTCCTGGTCCTTAAATATGTGCACAAAAAAAAATTGGATTCTCAGATTCGAGAAAGGAAATTCTTAACTACCAAGAAGTAGGAGGCAGGCCCGTGACCCTGGTGGTAATTTCTCCATCAAAAGGGCCACGTGCTCAGGGTTCCCAATGCCCCTGGGGGCTTCAGGCCCACACACAGCTGGGCTTTCCCGCCCTCATGCTGGGCGTGGTGGCCACACTCTTCCAAAGCTGCTGAGGGGGATGAGCACGGAAAACGGAACAGCGGCTGAAGTTAAAATGACGGGTCAAGAAGTGGTGGTGGGACAAGGGGCCACATATTTACTCCTGGTTAGGATAAAGCTGTCCTTCTACATCACCGTCATACACAGAATGTTCCAGAGGGAGGCTGGACAACTAAGATACATTCCAAGATTTATCTGAGGACTGCTGGGCAGAGGAGAAAAGCAGTTCTATTATTGAGTCCACATATATATGTAAACACACCATACACACACATATATATACACACACAATACACGTGACAAACATATACATGCACATATAATACACATGCGCACACACAAACATCTGGCACATGTACACATACACCTGCATTACATATGTACATATTGTACATATACATATATACTTACATATTTATGCGTGCATACATATACACACATAATACATATGTGCATGCATCATGTGCGCATGTGAATGCAAAACATGCATGCACATGCATATACACACACGGCATATGTATGCATATACTCGTGTATAATACATGCACATGCACACACGTGCTGCCTATGTATATGCACACATGTACACACGTGTATACAGATAAATACATGCACATTTATATATACACATTTATATGTATTTATATGGCTTAATAGGTGTTGAATAAATATTTGTTGAATAAATGGGTAAGAAAAAGTTGCTGTGGATTAACATTCAGATAAATACATAAAAGCATAAAAGTCGTGTAAATGGTGTTTCTCTTTTAGAATAACTGAGAAATACTGAATATCGCACTTAGACTGGCTTTTCCACGACACTCTGTAGCTTCTCAAGATGGACACGTGGGATTTACCTCTCCTGCTTTTCGCCTGGACCCCAACCAGCAACTGGCTCACTTGTAAGTGTGGGCTATCAAATCACAACGTCCTGATGAACTGATTTGTCTAGGAGCTCTCACAGAACTGAACGTATGGACAAAAACACAGCCCGTTTGGAGGCCAGGGTCTACACGGACGACCGGCTCCACGGGGGGCTGGCCGCACAAAGCTGGGCTCTCGGGCACACCTGTGCTGCCAGGCCGGTGTCCTTGTGGCCCGGAGGCCACCAGAACCCTCATGTTTTACCACACAGCCTGGGGGTGGAGGGTCAATATCTTTGCCATTTGGTGCTGTTTAAAGTAAACACTTTTTAACTTTTTGGTTTGCTTTGAATGTAAGAAAGGGAGGGGGAAATTTTGCTTTCTTATATTTCTTTTTCCTTGAGAAATGATGGAGAGGCCTCATATAACTGGGGTTTTACTCTGACCTGAAGACGTCCCCACTCATTGGTCACTGTGGATTCCAAATTCCACACATTTATTTTCGATTATCTAGGGAAAAAAGGATTGCCAAATAATTTAAGTCTCAACACAATGCCATTTTACTTTAGTAGCTGCACCGTGTCCATGATGAAGTACTTGGCCATCAGACAGCAAGGCTGCTAATAAGTTTTAAGCTGCCAGAAGTGCTGTGAACAGCATCCCAGTACTCTTCCTAGTGGAGGCAAAGACAATTGTTTTCAAACAAATGGCTCTCAATTTGGTGCGGTGTTTGGATTTCAAAACAAACGGTTACAACAAATAAACTGAAAACATAAAAAAATTAAAAAGGTAGCTTGTTGTGGGTTGAGTGGCAGTTCCCGAAAAGATTGGTCCATGCCCTAAATCTCAGAATCTGGGAATGTGAGCTGATTTGGAAAAAAGGATCTTTGCAGATGTAATTAAGGTCAGGATCACAAGGCAGATCATTCTGGATAATCCAGGTGGGCCCTAAATCCAATGACAAATGCCTTTCTAAGAGACAGGAGACACAAGGGGAGGAGAAGGCCATATAGAGCTGGAGGCAGAAACTGGCGTGATACGTTCACAGCCAGGAATACCTGCAGCCAATGGAAGCTACAAGAAGCAAAAAAGGATCGTCCTCTAGAGCCCACAGAAGGAGGGGGGCCCTGCCCACACCTTCATTTCTGACTTCTGGCTTCACGAGGAACTGTGAGAGACTACGGCTCTGTTGTTTTACGCCACCCACTTTGGGGTACTCTGTCCAGCAGCCTTAGGGTTGCTGTGATGTTAACTGGTTGTTGGTTGTCAGTCATGAGGGTGAGGCCCAAACAATACTTCACATTCAAATGCAGAACAACGACAACAATATCAATTTTATAATGCCTGCTGCTGCACTTACCCTTTCAAAAACTGGTTAGAAAAACACACCCTACTTGCTTTCATTTCGATTATCCTTCCCAATACCTTGACACATGCAAAGATGCAGCTGGTGTCAGCACACACGCTCTGTGGAGAGCAGTTTGGTGGTTACAGTGCTATCATCCTGACTGCCAGTCACGCAGCAATGGACCAGCACCCGGATACTTACAAACCCTTTCTAGCGTTGTCCGGGGAAAAGCCCACACCTGGAATATGTCACCTTCAGCCTGGTCCCAGAACTTTGACTCGGCTGAAGATGTCTCCATTTTCTTAAGTGATGTTAAGTTCCAGTCGTACTCAATGCTGCCGGACTCAATCCCTTGACCATCAATTTTCACTTCGTAAGTGAGGTCTGGCCTTAAGACCAGAGTGTAGAGGTGTGTAAAGCCATCAACCTGCATGGTGTAGGGGGAGAAAAGGGAAACAGTGAGACACCCCTGATGTTCCTCAGCAGGTATAAACATGCAGTTTAAGTCATCATTGGTCACAGCCTTGTAACAAATGGCAAAAGGAGGAATGCTAGGAATCAGGGTTGTCTTGACTAAAGAGGGTGTCCTACAGAAGAAATCGCCCTTAGGTGGACTACGTCCTTACTGCTAGCAAGCTTGTCTTGAGGGGCTGATTCCCTTTTGCGCAAACGTGATGGCTCCCGCCTAAAATCCCACAGGCAGTTATCACTGGGTGGAGGGTCTAAACCAAGGGGCCACTGTGCTTGATTTATGAACAGTTATGTGCTATACAACTTCTTGTTGTGTATTCAGAAAGATCTGATGTGAATTATTAATTCAGAAAGATGTGAGATAGTGCTCCTTCCACAGATGTGTCTTTTATTTATCTAACAGGTTGCAGAGCGGGGGAGCTTTCTAGTGTCTCAGCTGTCCAGCAATTTAAGCTCCTCAAGGGCAGGCCCTGCACCTCCCATGGTCACAGTTAAAGCCCCAGGGCCGAAACTAGAGAAGCACTCAATAAACATTCAATAAAGGATGGGTGAGTGGGTGCCTGGGGAGGCTGGGGGTGCCCGGGGTGTGCCTGCCTGTCAGCAGTGGAGGGCACTCCTGTACCGTACTCCAGCGGTGGTTCTCAAAGTGCAGTTCCGCAGCACCAACGTTTCTGGGGACATGGGAAATGTTCATTCCCAGGTCAACCCCGACCTGCTGCATCAGAACCCAGGTAGCCCACCTCCCTGTCTCCAGCCCCGGCTGCTTTCACAGGCCCCCAGGGGTGCCAACGCTACTCAGGTTTGGGAGCCACCACTCCAGCATCTTAAAGGCTCTGTCAGGAGGATTCTTACCCTGCTAAGAGCCAAAGCTAAAGGCCTCTTCAGTAACCCTCAGCTCTGCCCCCGGTGACAGGCTGCTGCTGTCTACACTGCGGCTGATGGCTCTCCTCAGGGTCTGCCCTGTGTCCCCCTTGGCCTCTGTACCCACTGTGACAGCTGAGGACACACTTGTCCCAATGTTCTCCACTACTTTCATCTCCACCTGCCTTTCCTAATTCTGGCTTTGGGCTCAGTCTGGCTTGCTGGCACCCTCCAGGATTTGGTCCCTGGCCCAGAGCCTTCTGAAAGATATCATCCACTCCTGCATATATGCAAATGGCTCCAAACCGACATCTTTCATCCCAACCATCGGCTTGAGCTTCAGACCTGAGTTTCCAAACACTCACCAGACACCTCTACCTGGATGTCTGCCAGGATTTCACAACCGACAGTTCCAAACATGACTCCTGAGTCTGCCCTGGCCCCCTTACTGACCTTGGTTTCCCCTGCTGATTAACGGCAATGCCACTGAGAGTCGTCGGCCACATCCTCAGCACCCACGCTCCAATCATCACAAAGTCCTCTGGATCCCACCCCTGAATTATCTGTCAAACACTGCCGTGTTTTGCATCCCACCAAAGCCGTGGCCCGGCCATCTCCCCGTCTCCCTGCCTGGTGAGCACCCACCCCTCCACCTGCCATCCCCAGGACATTGGAGGTATTCTTCTAAAATGCAGATCAGATGCCCCCTCCCCCTTGAAAACCTTCAAGGGCTGAGAATTGCTTGCAGGGAGGTTCCCAACCTTCCCTGACTGTGTCACAGAACACACTGTGTTCCTCCCCAGGAAGACCATAATCCTGACTGGCTGCTGTGAATTAGTGCTCCTTCCACAGATGTGTCTTTCATTTTCCTCACAGGTTGCGGCAAGAGCACAGGGCTGAGGGCGTCATCAGCCTGTGGCCGCCACTCGGAGCTCTGTGGGCTTGCTGGCCCAAGGTGGTCATGCTCTACCTCCCCAGCATGGTCCAGGCTGGACCTCAAAGTCCCCACAGTGTCATCCCTGCTCTCTGCCACACACCTGAGGGGCAGCTGAACAATTTCTCGGGCATCAGTCGCAAAGACCTGCCCACTACAGTGGGGAGGGAAGAACTGCATTTCAAGCCCTCCCTCTCCCCTACAGGAGGGACATCAGGCCTCCGTGGGCAGGGGGGACCCGCTGATCCTCTAGAGCCATCAGGTCAGTGGATGGGACCCTGAGAAGGACAGCACTGCAATGGGCTATGTGATGGCACCAGTCACCCCGTTTTGGTTGGGACCGTTTAAGGCACAGGGATGGACATTTCCCCTCAGTGCCGCCAATGATCCTGAAACACACGCAGCCTCCCACCCAGGTTCACCCAGACTCATGGAGGCCTCCCGTGTGGCAGCTTTGGGCGTGGGGGCTACCCCAGGGACAGATCCCTGCTCCTGGCACTGACATTCCAATTGGTGGGGGGGTTGCACTGGGGAGTGAATCCCCCGGCACCATGCCAGGGGACCTGCATGAGCTGCCTCCTTGGAGAAGCCGCAGTCAGACCACTGAGTTATACGGTGGGCCCTCCGGCATAGAGTGTTATTTTCACAGGCTCCCCTGGGTAAGGAAATACGCTTTTATTTTGGAAATATTTCCTTTTTTAAATGGTTCGACATTTTGAGGATTAATTTCTCCAGAATTTTTTTCATCCTGAGTATTCCTTAATGAGGATAGGTACGGCTGAAATGTGACTACATTGCTATAACCCTTATGGGGCAAATTGTAATATGATGTCATAGCTTTCAGTAAAAAAGCTAGTGTGCCCTCCTCATGGGCAAAAGCTTTAGAAAGCAAACCACAGTGGCAGACAAGTGTCTCTAATGGGCCTGCTAGAGACAGGGAGCTGTTTGCTAGGACCCATCCCCCGGGCTCAATTCAATATTTTTAAGATCAAAACTATTTTCTCTAAATTTATGTTATCAAGAGTCCACACAGTCACTGATTTGAATACAAAGCACTTACCTTACACCTGATGGATTTCTTGTTTGAGTGATACTGATTCTTGAAATGTAAAATAACATGAACTTTCTTGATATCAAATCCACAAATATCGGGTCCTACAAAAAAAAATGAGAATGAGCTGCTCTCAATTTTCTTCTGTCCTTCACGGGATACCCCGAACCATTTTCCTGAGACAATCTACAAGACACAGGAAGCTTAGCGGACCAGGAATCATCAGACATACACAGTGGAGACATTTGAATGAGGGTGACGCCCTCCTCCATCCCGTCCCCTTTCTGGCTCCAGCAGCCACTTTGGACTCAAGCATAAACCAGCAAGTAAGCAAAGGAAGGTTTAACAGGCTGGTAAGTGTCCCCGAATTGCTGCTGGGCCTTGGGCCTTCCCTGTGAAGCGGGGACCAGGGCTCCTGCGCCTGTGGGAGGGCTTCGGAGCTGGACTGACTGGTTGCAATCCCAGCCGTCACTCACTGTGCTGGGACATGTTTGCAAGTAGGTGGCCTCCTCATGCCTGGGTGTCCTGCTCTATAAAATGGGGGTGTTAACCTTGACCCCACAAAGCTATTCTGCCAATTAAATTGGCTCATTACATAAAGTGGTTAGTATGGCAAAGATCAGTGTTTGTTGTTATTCTTACGTTTATTATTATTATTATTATTATTATTATTATGCCCCAAGACAACATACACACACGTTCTTAATGACAATCCCAAATCAGAAGCAAAAGAAATTATGATCAGTATGTAGGTTCTGATCAACTATAAAATTCAGGAGGTGTTCCATTCAAAAGTTAAAAATTTTTCAACTGGTACAGGGTGTTCCAGTTACTAAAGAAATGGACTCTCCATCCACCTGATAGGAGACTACGAGTTCTGAATATACTGCAGTCCTGCAGGAGGGATCCAGAGAATTTGTCAGAGCTTCTGAGGATGTTTGGAATCACCCTGCCGCGTCTTTCTGGCCTTGAGTCTTAGGAATGTACTAATGCTCCCGGGGTCTTTCTGTCCCGGGTGGAACTGCACCACACGCAGTGATGCCAGGCCTGCACCCCACCCCACTTCCAGGGATCCTCAGAAGCAAATCCCGTGTAGACACAGCAGATGACTGCAATGTCTTCTAGAACTTGCAGGGATGAACCTCCAGAATAAATAAGAGGTGCAGGCTGCATGTAATTACTTAAAGAATATTATCAATTTGCCAGAGTAGATGAGACACTGAACTTGGAAGGAGTGCTCTGAGGGATGGACAGAGAGCGTCGCATCTGTCTTGCAGCTGAGTACTCAAGAGGATGCAAGTTTATGTAATGTCTTTTTTTTTTATCTCTGGAAAACACTCCAGTTCAAATTTTAAGACAAAAGCTACAGTATGTGAACTATTCACATGAAGGTCTACTACCTTGGGGTGGAAATGTGAAATGTACTTTTCCTTTGAAATTGGGTCAGAATTTCCCTATTTCTGAGCACCTACATGCTCTTAATATTGACTTAAGCTTCAGAACATGCCCAGGCCTGACCAGAAAGTCTAAGCATTTTCCGTTAACAGCAACCATAAAATATTTATGCACATAATGGATTTTTTTTCAGGAAATGGGCTCTGAACTTGGGCTGACCTGACTGTGGGCAAGCAGTTTAATCTTCTGTACCCTAGATTCCTTATTTGCAAAATAGGGGCTGTGTTACCTGCATAGCTGAATCGTGTGTTTTTATTCATCTGCCTATCTCTGTCTTTTGATTGGAGAGTTTAATCCACTTACATTTAAAGTAATTACTGATAACAAGGGAGTTACTACTGTTGTGCTGTTTTCTATATGCCTTAGAGCTCCTGCAGTCCTGCAGGAGGGATCCAGAGAATTTGTCAGAGCTTCTGAGGATGTTTGGAATCACCCTGCCGCGTCTTTCTGGCCTTGAGTCTTAGGAATGTACTAATGCTCCCGGGGTCTTTCTGTCCCGGGTGGAACTGCACCACACGCAGTGATGCCAGGCCTGCACCCCACCCCACTTCCAGGGATCCTCAGAAGCAAATCCCGTGTAGAGCTTTTTTGTCTCTCATTTCCTGCATTCCTCTCTTTGGTGTTTATTTATATTTTTGGTAGTGAAATGCTTAAATTACTTCTTAATTTCCTTTTGTGTATATTCTATAGCTATTTTCTTTGTGGTTACCATGGGGACTACATTTAGCATCCTGAAGTTATAATGCTCTTAAAAATTTGACCTTATACCAGCCTAACTTCAATGACACATGAAGCTCTGCTCCTTTTCAGCTCCATCCCATGTCTTTTGGTTATTGGCAGCACAAGTTACATCTTTATACATGGTGTGCCCCTAACATGAACTGATTACTTAAAATGTATTAGTCTCTTAAATTACGTAGTAAACAAGATTTCAAGTTAGAAACCTAAGTTATAGTAATGCTAGCTTTTATACTTTTTTTCTTTAAACTGTATCACTCTCTTAAATCATGTAGAAAACAAAATGTGTAGTTACAAACCATTCTTATAATAATATTTGCTTTTATAATCACTCATGTATGGATCTTTATTGAGAACTTTATTTCTCCATACAGCCTTGAGTTACTATCTACTGTCCTTTCACCGCCTTGCAGGGAGGGTCTAGTGGTCACAAACTCCCTCAGCTTTATTATTTCTTTCTTTTTCTTTTGGTATCATTAATATACTCTTAGATGAGCAACATTGTGGTTACTAGATTCCCCTCATTACCAAGTCCCCACCACACACCCCATTACAGTCACTGTCCATCAGTGTAGTAAGATGTTATAGAGTCACTATTTGTCTTCTCTGTGTTGAACCGCCTTCCCCATGACACCCCCCCCACTACATTATATCTGCTAATAGTAATGCCACATCCCCTTCTCCCTCCCTTTCCACCCACCCTCCCCAGTCCCTTTCCCTTTGGCAACTGATAGTCCATTCTTGGGTTCTCTGATTCTGCTGCTGTTTTGTTCCTTTAGTTTTTGCTTTGTTTTTAATGCTCCACAGATGAGTGAAATCATTTGATTCTTGTCTTTCTCCACCCGGCTTATTTCACTAAGCATAATACCCTCTAGCTCCATCCATGTTGTTGCAAATGGTAGGATTTGTTTTCTTCTTATGGCTGAATAATATTCCATTGTTTATATGTACCACATCTTCTTTATCCATTCATCTACCGATGGACACTTAGGTTGCTTCCATTTCTTATAGTGCTGCGATAAATATAGGGGTGCATATGTCTTTTTCAAACTGGGCTCCTGCATTCTTAGGGTAAATTCCTAGGAGTGGAATTCCTAGGTCAAATTATATTTCTATTTTGAGTTTTTTGAGGAATCTCCATACTGCTTTCCACAATGGTTGAACTCATTTACATTCCCACCAGCAGTGTAGGAGGGAGGGTTCCCCTTTCTCCACATTGTCACCAACATTTGTTGTTGTCTTTTTGATGGTGGCCATCCTAACTAGTGTGAGGTGATATCTCATTATGGTTTTAATTTGCATTTCTCTGATGATGAGCGATGTGGAGCATTTTTTCATGTGCCTATTGGCCATCTGAATTTCTTCTTTGAGAAGTGTCTGTTCAGCTCCTCTGCCCATTTTTTAATTGGCTTATTTGCTTTTTGTTTGTTGAGGTGCATGAGCTCTTAGTATATTTTGGATGTAAACTCCTTATTGGATATGTCATTTATGAATATATTCTCCCATATTGTAGGATGCCTTTTTGTTTTGCTGAAGGTGTCCTTTGCTGTATAGAAGCTTTTTAGTTTGTTATAGTCCCACTTAATCATTTTTGCTTTTGTTTCCCTTGCCCGTGAAGATACATTCATGAAGAAGTCCCTCAGCTTTTTTGTATCTGGGAATGTCTTAATTTCTCCCACACTCTTAAAGTACAGTTTTGCTGAATATGGTTCTTGATTTGGCAGGTTTTTTTCTCTTTTAGCACTTTGAATAAATCACACTACTGTCTTCTGGCCTCCAAAGTTTTTTATGAGAAATCTGTCCTATTGAGAATCTCTTTTATGTACCAATTCACACCTCTCTTGCTCCTTTCAAGGTTCTCTCTGTCTTTTGAAAGTTTGATCATGTGTTTTGGTGTGGGTCTCTTTGGTCTCACCTTATCAGTCTGGTGAGCTTTTGGATGTTTCCAAGACGTTCTGTGAAATATTCACATATTTCATCAAATTTGGGAAGTTTTCAGCCATTATTTTTTCAAATACCCTCTCCCTGCCTTTGTCTCTCGCCTCTTCCTGGGACTCCTTCCAGAGCATATGTTGGTCTGTTTGATGGGGTTCCACAGGCAGGGCCCTTAGGCTCTGCTTGCTTTGCTTCAACTTTTATCGTTCTCCTGCTCAGCCATTGTCCTATCTTCACGTTCATGGATTCTTTCTTCTGCCTGTTCAAATCTTCCTTGATTCCCTCTAGTGAACTTTTTCGTTTTAGTTGTACTTTACAACTCTAGGATTTCTTTTCGGTTTCTTTTTAGATTTTGTATCTCCCTATCGGTTTGCACACATCATTTTCTTGACTTTCTCCACATCCTCCCTCAGTTCTTTAAGTATCTTTCAGACAGCTATTCAATCTGTCTAATACAGTCTACTACTGTATCTTTGTTAAGGGAGAGTTTATGTTGCCTGATTTTTCTTCCTTTGAATATGCCACATGTCCCTCTTTGTATGCCTTGTGAATATTTGCTTAACAGTGGATATTTGAATCTAATAATGTAGTAACTCTGGGAATCAGATCGTCCTTGTTCCCCAGGATTTGCTGTTTCTTTTGTTATTAAAAAAAAAAGATTATTGTCAGCTAGCTTGGTGCCAAGGGTCAGCCTGAGGTATAAACTTAAGATCTTAGATCCTTTGAATCTTTCTCTGGGCATCTCGGGTCACTTTCTGATTTTCCCTGCATAAGCAGTTGGTTTTTAATGTTCTAGTCGTTAATGCCTGGCTTCCTAAAGGGAAAGGAGGAAAAATGAAGGGTGGAGAGGAAAGGTGCTGGCCCTTTAAATACTCTAGCAGCCAGTTCAGCTGGAGGGGGAGGTGCAGCAACGATGGGGGAGGGCACCACGAAGGGGGAGGGCACCACGAAGGGGGAGGGCACCACGAAGGGGGAGGGCACAACGATTGCTCTCATCCTTTGTTTGCAGCTCTGTGACTAGAAGCAGCAGTTGAAGATGAGGTCCCTGATACTTGGCTGGCAAGGTCCTCTGCCCTCACGGGCTCCTGCGAGCTATGGGGAAAGCTGCTCTAAGAGCACATGCACTGCTGTCTGTTCTGTGGCTGGGGGTGGGGGATAGGTGGGCACAACTGTGCTAAGAGCTGCAATTGACCAAAATGAACCTTTCCCAGTCTTCCTCTGGAAGTTGCAATTCTTCCAGAGACCCCAGAGTTCCCAAATGGTTATATGAGATCCTGCCGGTACGACTGTCCAGCTCAGGAGGCAGACCCTTGACTCTTCCTGCCCCACCACCTTCTGCGCGTCCTCTTCCTTTATAAAGCTTTTTGAGTCCACACACTTCAGTTTTGACTGTTTCCTGTGGTCCAGTGTGGTTCCTTCCAAATTCCAACACAAATTTTAACCAATTACCCTTGGTGTCTGGAGATACCTTATGTATTCCAGGGGTCAGCAAGCTTTTTCGGTAAGGAGCCAAACAGTAAATATTTTGGCTTTGTGGGCCATACGGCCTGTCACAACTACTCATGTCTGCCATTCCTGCTTGAAAGCAGGCGTAGACAAGATGTGAAGGAGTGGAATGATGCTGCATTCCAGGAAGACTTCACATGTGGACATGGAAATTTGAGTTTCATGTCATTTTCACGTGTCAAAACTATTATCCTTCTTTTGATTTTTTTTTTCCAGTCATTCAATATGTTAAGACCCATTTTCAGCTCACAGGCCATAACAAACACAGGCTGTGGGCTCATGCGGTCCATGGCCAAGGTTAGCTGACCCCTGGAGTATTCAAAATACTTAGGGCTACATTAATGTTGAATAAATAACTTTCCCCAAAGCCCAATGGACTCGTATGGTTGCTTTCTTATATTATTAACAAGGTTTAACAGTACTAAAAACCTTTGGTCAGATACTTCACTACTACCACTTCAGCAGTCTTACTCTAAGGACTCTATGAGGTGGAAGGATTTTCAAAGTCACCAGAAATGTTTGCATCCTACTCACCAAACATAATATAATACTGGGATTTTCCATTCAGGTTCTTCTGATCCACGTTGGCAGGGAAGACCTTAACGTAGCCCCCTCCACAGTCCATCAGCTGCTCGTGTTTCACTGTGTACTGAATGATCAGAGTCTTCCCTTTACTGCTAAATGGTTTGAACCGGGCAGAGATGGCGTAGAAGAGGCCATTTTGAGTCGTTTGAAGACCTTTAAACAAAAAGCACCCATGAGGTAATAGGAATGACACTGTTCAGATGCAGGGAATTCAACGGTTTGTCCCTCCCCCACCCTCATAATAAACATCCTAACCATTTACGTCAATCCAGAGCCTATAGCACGTGTTTACAGTAACATGCAGTGGGCATACCACTAATAGGCTCTCTGCTGCCACAGATATCTATTTGACATGCTCAGATGGTTTTGTACTTAATATGCCACTGTTACGTCTTAAGTTACAAAAACATTTCAGTTTCCAATGACAAATACGCAATCTAATTATGGACAAAAAGTTAATTTTGCTTCCATTCATCACCCAAGGAGTGGGAATACACAATGAAGCTTGGGTAGCAACTAAACTGAAAAACAGAGCATTCTACATCCTTTCCCTATTTCTCATCGTCCAACAGCGAATTAAGAGACACAACGGTGGATAAGGACAGAGTGTGGATCTGTAAAAAAGGGGTTCATTGCATGGGGTAAGCTGGCCCACAGGTGTCACCTTTTGATTAAGATAACATGCTATGTCATGTGAATCATCTCATAAGTTTGGGCTGCACTTCAAGACCAAAACACCATTTTTTGGGTAGACACTGGGCTCTGTGCCAAATCCTTATCTTACACTGGAGCATTAGACAACCCTGAAAACAGAGCCCATCTTTGTAGAACCTAATCTTCCTTGCTCCACACTCTGGCCCCCAGAGCTGCCTATGCTGAGAGCCATCAGAAATGAACTTGGCATTTCCTATCAGTATGGCCAAGCCTGAAATCATGGCTGGCTCCCTTCTAAGACCACACCTATGGTTTTCTCTCTCTGCTCCTCGGTTCTTTCCCTGACTTTCCCTTTCTCAAGGATTCATAGCTTCTCCCCTTCTCTTATCCTCTGCCATTTAGGCAATTCCTAAAGCCTTATGACTCACTGCCTCCCTCTCTGCCTTACCACCCTCCTTCAGCTACTCCTGTCATCTCTCACCACTTTTCATCCCTTTCTGACCCAATTCTATGTATCTTTCCATTCATTGCTTCTATGTCATGGTCCTGGGATGCCACAAAAGACGGGGCCGAACTACCCAGCATCCCCAGCGCCTTGCACATGTGTGCACTAAGCAGACGTGTGCTGGAAGTGAGTGAAATGCACACAATCTCAAGATTCTGGACTGGAGGAAGGAAAAACGTGGACAAAAAACACAAACAACTCTAGTGGAAACTTCTGTCCTTGGAAAAGCTTCTGGAACAGCCTGTTTATTTCCACTCCACTATTTGTCCTATAGCCTGAATTTTTACTAACGTTTCAGTTAACATTGCAACAAAACAATGCAAATACAATAGAAAAACAGAGGCTGCCAGGCAGGGCAATATTGGAGTAACAAGGGTAAGGGGTTTGAGTAGAGGATGGTGAAAGAGGGAAACTTTTCATCTAAATGAGAGGTTGCAGACTTTTTCTGTTAAGGCCAGAGAGCAAATATTTCAGACTTTGTGAGCCATTTGGCCTCTGTCCTAATTACTCCATCCAGACTTTACAGCATGAAAGCAGCCATAGACTATACGTAAATAACGGGAATGGCTGTGTTCTGTTAACTTTACTTGGACACTGGTATTGCATATATTTCATTGAATTTTATGTGATTTTTATGTGTCATATTGATCCCTTTCTGATTTTTTTCCTCAACAATTAACACAAAAGCCATTCTCGCCTCACTGGCTGTACAAAAAACAGGCACTAGATGGGCTGTGGTTTGACACTTTTAATCACCTGTAATGAGAGGAAGCCAGAATAGGTATTAATCATCCTTGGCACTGGGAGGCTACTGTCTGGGGTGGGGTGGGGACACGAGCGGGGGCCTCTGGAAGGGGGTGGGTGGGAAGCAAACATCCCCTGTCTTGACCTGGATGTACAGATGTAAACAATCATTCTGTTGAATCCCTAATATCTGTGCATGTGACAGCATGTAACTTTTACCTAAATTTTTCTTCTTAAAGTGAAAATAAAAATAACAGATATCTTCTCATCTTTTTTTCCCCTCTGAAGGTTTAGGCCCTGGGGTCTTCCAACGTATCAGCCTAGTATACATAAAGCAGGGTGATCTTGGGCAAGTAAAGAGAGGGAAGAGAAAACGAAAAATAACACCAGACACCCAAGTCGTGCCTCAGTTTCCCCACCTGCAAAATGGGCTTAAGAGGTGTTAGGGATGTGCCACATGTACCTTGAAATAAGGTTGCTATGGGTGTGTCTGTGGGGGTTAACGTTTAGCTCATTTTCCTCACGATTCTTACACTAACCTTTGTCTTTCTCTTTATGACCGTAAAATTTGCCCGACGAGAGTCTAAAATGCCCAAACTGGGAATTATTGGTGGACTGCACCCATCGGTTCCTCCAGCGCTCTGCGGGCGGAAACCACACAGGTGAGGGCTCTGACAGTTAATCTGGGTCACGGGGAGGGTGGCGGAGGCCCTGGACGCTTCGAAGTTTCGAGGAATTGCCGCCACGTACCCCGCGGTGATCCGCGGGGCACAATGGCGACTAGGGCAGTCCGCTGGAAGAACTTATACCCCCATCATCAACAGCGTCGCCCCTTCACCTCCGTCTATAAATTCCTCCTGGAAGTAGACGGTGGCCAGCGCCACCCGCAGCACCCAGACCGCCCAGAGACAGACGCGGGGCAAAGCCATGGAAGCTGCGCTGTGCTGCTGCTCGTAACCGCCTCTTTCCTCCCAGTGGTCTTCGCGGTGCGCCAGGCGCGGCCGGGAACTACAACTCCCGTCACACCTCTCGATTAAGAGCCGAGGCGCTACTGGTCCCCGTCGCGCGGTGCATGACCGGACCACCCTGTGACTACCATTCCATGACGCTCAGCTGTTGTAACCTAGGGCCCCATTGGTCCTCGGAGCGCGATGCACGTCGGGAGATGTAGTCTCTTGTGCCTGACACCGTTGCCGCGGGCAACGGCGCCTTCAGTCCTAGTGTTCCGAGCAAGCGAGGAAGCGGTGCCTTCCGCGCCTCTTGGAAGGAGGTTGGCCGGGCTGGCTGGGTGGCCCCCGAGCTGAGCGCTCGGCCGCTGGGGAGCGGCGGCGGGGAACGGGGCCCGCTCGGAGCCGTGCTGGCCGGGCGGCGGGAGAGCGGCCGGGCGCTACACGCTGATTTCCCGTGTGGCCCAGTCGGGAGCGCGGTCCGACGTTGGCCGCCCGAGGCCCGGGGAAAAGCCCTGTCGTCCGAGGGGAGCCAGTGTTTTCAAAGTTTGGTTTATCGGAACAACTTTATTGAAGATTCATTTACATACCGTACAATTTACCCCTTTTAAAAGGTACAACTCCATTATTTTTGATAATTTACTAAGTAGTTTTAATCACTGTAATCCAGCTTTAGGACTTTTCGGTTACCGCAAGGAGGCCACTGATGTGCTTTCTGAGTCTGGATTCGCCTTTTCTGGTCAGTCTTGTAAATGGAATAATAGGGTGTGTGGTTTTTTTGCCTCTGGTTATCTTCCCTACGTAGGATGAGTTAGAGATGTATGCATGTTGTATTAGGATTGCCCTTTTTCTATTGCTGAATGGTATTTCATTGTTTGGATGGACCTCAGTTGCCACTGATTCACTCGTTAATGGACATTTGGATTGTTTCCACTTTTTTGTCTATTATGATAATAGCTATTAGGTAATTTGCATTTGGGCTCTGTGGGAGCTGGAATTGCTGGATCATATGGTAACTATGTTTAACTTCTTGAGGAAGTGCCAGGCTGTTTTCCAAATTGGTGACTGCTGCATTTTGCAGTCCCCCACAACAGTGTATGAGGGTTCCAGTTCCCTCACATCTTCACTAATGCTTACTATCTGTATATTTAATTATAGATATCCTAGTGAGTGATAAATGGGCTCTCATGGTGGTTTTGATGTGTGCTTCCCTAATGGCTAGTGATACTGAACATCTTTTCATGTACTTATTGGTCTTTTGTATACAGGCATACCCGATTTTATTGCATTTTGCTTTATAGCCCTTTGAAGATATTTTGTTATTTACAAATTAAAGGTTATGGCAACCCTGCTTAGGCAAGTCTGTTGGTGCCATTTTTTCCAGTGGCATTTGCTCGCTTTGTGTCTGTGTCGCATTTTGGTAATTCTTGCAATATTTAAAATTTTTGCACTATGGTATTTGTTAAGTTGACCTGTGATCAGTGATTATGACTTGCTGAACTCAGATGATGGTTAGCTTTTTTTAGCAGTAAAGATATGTCTTTTAATTAAGACATGTCTTTTTTTTTAAAGATATCATGCTATTGCACACTTAATAGACTACAGGATAGTGTAAACATAACTTGCGATGCCCTGAGAAACTAAAAAATTCTTTTGACTCACTCTAGTGCGATATTCACTTTATTGCAGTGGTCTGGAACTGAACCTGCAATGCCTCCCAAGTTATGTGTGTATTTTCTTTTTTTTGGTAGAATATTATGTTCACATCTTTTGTCTATTGGTTTATTTTCAGTTGTGTGTTTGAAAATATGTCTGTTTTAGTTGTGATAAAGTATATGTAACATAAAATTTACCATTTTAACCATTGTTGATTTATTTTTTAAACTTAGGGAAACTTTCAGAAGAACCAGATGCCAGGCTTGATGGCTGGGTTCTCCCTCTGTCTCAGAGAATGACCTGGGCTGAGTCATCTCCTGAGCCTTGGCTCCAAAAAATTAACAGATAGCTGTTGGCATTTTTCCAGCACTTTCTACTTCTCCTCTGCATTTTTCCAGTTTAAAATAAGCCTGCTATATAGGTAGTCAAGATACTGTCATTACTACTATCTACATTTTATTGATGACTTATTCCCTGCCCCACACTGAATCCTATAAAGGTAATAGTTATTCCCTTTTTACAGGTGAGCAAGCTGAGGCACAGAGTAGTTATATCACTTGCCCAGTGTCACACAGACTAGGAATTCTGCACTGTTTCTGTCAGGTGTGGTTTCCCATTCACTAACTCCAGGGGCCAGGCCTGTGCTGGGCACTCTGGGTGGTTAAGATGGGGACAGGCAAGCAAGCACACTAGGCAAAGAAACAGACAGTAAAATAATAAAGATAATTTATTGTTGTACAGAATCTTGGGGGCTGCATTAAAATGCTTTTCCTTGCACAAAACATTTGAGCTCTGTGTTGAAAGGTATATGAGATAGAGAGTAGCCAGATTTAGCAAATGAAAATATGGGGAAACCCAGTGGATTTGAATTTGAATTTTGGCTAAAAAATAATTTTTTGTATAAAATATTTGGAGCATTACTTTCCAGTATAAAAGTATTAGGGTCATATTTGTATTTTTAAAAATGACTTGCTGTTTATCTGAAATTCAAATAACTGGGTGTCTTGTATTTAACCTGGTTATCCCAGTAAGATTGTTTTCCAAGTGGACAGGGATGGGAAAAAAGGCCTTTTCTGGTGTCACAGAGAATTCTTTTTTTTTTTTTTAAGAAAAGCAACACATGGCCTTGCTAAAATACTCAAACGATTTGGAGACGAGGCATGGTCCGCCTTTGTCTTTTCTGCCTCATGTGTCGGCCTCCTCCCCGTCTCCGACCCGCAGACAAAGGAGGCGACGCGATGAGATATCGAAGACCTGAGTAGGCCAGCCAGGGGACTCAAGGCGTACCAGCTCAAGAGTGGTGCTGGAAAGGCACCTCTCATATTTACTGATCAGGCATCACATTCTTGAGTGGGCTAACAAGTTTCTAGACACAATGATTAACGTGCTTTACTACAGGAATGTAATTGCCCCCAGGTCGCTGGGGCAAGTTGTCCCTGTCGCCAGGCAGTGAGGGGGTAGAGAGAACAAGAAACAGATCTCGGTTTAGACTTAGTGAGCTGCGGCATGCACCACAGATAACTCCCATAGAAACAGAATGATCTATGGATGGCAACCTATATTTCCCCCGTTTTTAAATTAAAAAGGAAGAGAAGTCCATTATTCCACCACAGCTTAGTAAAGAAAAGGGCGACAAGAAATGCCTCGTCAGGGGGGGTGAGGTGCTAAGCCACGCCTCAGTTGACCCCCTCATCTCTCGACCTGTTGGCCCCTGCGACTGTGCCTGTCTTAGGTTGTTCCTCCCCTGAGGAATCTTACGCATCTCTGGCTAGCCAGCCATCTCTTGGGACCGTACAGGGAGTAAATGCGATAGAGCAAAGAGGCATACAAAAGATTTATGCAAAGACTTTATCATCCCCTTAATTGCTGCGGAATTTTAAAACATGCAGTGATCTATCACACGGACTCTCAAGAAAATAACATGCAATTATTAATTTTTTGCCATGACTTCTTGAAATATAGCATATGCATGAATTGGCTTTATTAAGCCAGCAATCAGATGGCGCACCCATGTTACTAAAACGGGAAGGCAAATGCATAAAAGAAGTAGGCCTACAAGTATTGGCCATAGCCAGTGAAACCAAGAGAACCAATCAGATAATCCAGGTAATTCTGAAAACTTATCAATAATATGGTGAATATCATTCAACTGGTTTTGAATCGTCTGTGAAAAATCAGATATGTTAAAACAACACATTCCCGGAAATTGTTCACAGCCCAAATGTACTTTCAGCAACAAATAGTCCATGGTAGCACGATTCTGAAGCACTGCCACTGGAACTTCTCCAAGTTCCTGATTAAGTTCTGACAGTATGGAAGCAGTCAGATCTGCAGTCTTGCTGAAGGCACAGGCCAGCTTAGATATTTCCTTCTGCATTCCTACAACGAGTCCTGGTACCGGCAATACAAACGCAGCTGCGACTGCAACGGCAACGGGGTCCAACAATTTCAAGTTGTCGTCACAATCTGGAGGCAGGGCTTGGGTCACTTTTCCGTGTTTGAATCCAGGATGATCTATAAGGGCTGGGAGAATACGTCCTATACCACAGACGCCTTGATAATGTGAGGAAAAGGCTTGATAGGTTTTGTTATCACACAAAAACACCCAGCCATTTGGGAGTCTATATCCATATGGCCATTTTACATGAATAGTAGAATTACAGTAAGAAGGTATATTAGTACAATCGATACATATACAACTAGAAACTCTAGTGGTGCTAACTGGTAAATTCAATTGAATTTCTCGAGTAAGAATCTTGGGGGCTAAAGTAATATTTATTCCAGAAATATTAGTAAACACTGAAAAAGGGAGTCCTGTGCCTATCAAATTCTTCCTTAAGATTCCACCAATAGAGGAGTCACCTGCTACACAAAAAGATGTCTTGTTAAGCCCTTTATTAGCCAATTGCAACCACATATTGGGTGAAGAATACTCATTCTCTGGGGTTAGTGAAATGTCCAAATAAACATAACTACTTTTATATATTTGATCAGGGTTTCCCTTCTGGAATTTTTCACTAGAATAATTGCCAATATCATTTCGGGCTAAAACTGTTTTATAAATATCATAGTGGGTATTGTCTCTTTTAGACTGATCAGTAGCATTATCCTAACCAAGTTTTCCTCTATCTTTCTGTGTATATATTTCATTACCATCTTTTTTCCAAATCACCGGGCCTACAGGAGTTGAACAAGTGGAGATACAATGAAGTACTACTCCCCGGCCGAAGTACGGAGGACTGCTAATACCAGCAGTAATAGTACAGGCCTGGGTTATGTATATGTGTATAGAGATTAGACTCAAAAACTTCATTATCATGTAGGGATCCTCACTCCAGTGACGGAACCGGTTGAGGGACATCGCCTGGGACAGCCGT